GAGATTTCCCAGCCCCGCCTGGACGCGGTGCTGTGCAGCCTGCTCTGGGTGACCCTGCTTGGGCAGGGGGTTGGGCTGGGTGACCCACAGAGTCACACAGGGCCCTTCCAACCCCTGCCATGCTGTGATTCTGTGAAAGCACCGTCACCAGCAAGTGCCACCACCTCTTACTGAGACAGGTCAGAACTATTCCAACGTGTTCCAGGGAAGAATGGGAGACTCCCGCCCATCAGAGCTGCAGGGGCACTCGCTTTCAAGCTACTGTGGCAGTGAAGTCCTCAGCAACGGCTTCAGCAGCTGACTGCAGCTCGAGGCTGCGCTTGGACGCGTTACAATATTTGTGTGCGTTTTCACACCAGTACGGTTACTTTCATGATTTAACTCTGCTTTCAATTCCGACCCAAATTTTCCGATTGCTCTTGGACACTTTTCAGTTTGATGCCCTTTATCATTCGCTTTACTGATGGATGCTTAGGCCACCACTAATAAAACTCCTCAAGGACAGGAGTAGCTGTATTTTCTTTCCAAATTGATCGCAGTACAGATTGCCTCTTTTAAAGCTTCATTAAAAACAAATCTGTCAAGGCTTCCAGCCATCTGGTCAATGGCGCCAATAGCGGTTATAAAAAATTCAGCTGAGAATCGCCGTATTGCTCTGGTCAGTCGAACGGCAGCACACGAAACCCCGCTCCAGCAGTCAATCTGCGCGAGTTACGTCGCGCAGGGAAGCGCTAAATCAGCACTGCAGGCTGCAGAAGACCTGACTTCGCCAGCACTGAAGACCTCCTGAAGTTTAAAGCAGAAGCCAGCAGAGACCTTGGATATCCTTTTGGATATCTTCCCTCTGACGGTGACGGGGCACTGGCCCAGGCTGCCCAGGGAGGCTGTGGAGTCTCCTTCTCTGGAGATATTCCAGACCCGCCTGGACGCGGTGCTGTGCAGCCTGCTCTGGGTGACCCTGCTTGGGCAGGGGGTTGGGTTGGGTGACCCACAGAGGTCCCTTCCAATCCCAACCATGCTGTTATTCTGTGATTCTGTGAATCTGTGATTCTGTGATCACCACTTCCGAGCAGCAGCACAAGCGTAAGTGGCGTGAACAGACACATTTACACGTCCGGGATTCTTACCATTGCCACGCCGAAAGGAGGAGAAGCCTACTTACTTCTATGACTCCCGGGATACACGTCAGGGTGGTGAACTCGTAAGACGCAGCTTCGCTGGCAGTTGAGGTCATTAAACTCAAAAACGTGGACTGAAATGCAAGAGAGCGGCGTCACTAGAGACACGCAACCGGCAGCGCTGGCAAGCGTTCAGCAAAACCAGCAACGCCGCAGCGCTCCACGGCTTTCAGCAGCCGCGCTGGGGCTGTTCCAGGCACAGGGACTGACGCGGTGACGCGACGGCCAGCGCTTTCGCTGATCAGAGCTAAACCCTGTGCCCTCACCTATGTTCTCAGCCGTGCTGCAGCTGGGCAAGACCCGGTTTCGGGCTGTTACCCCGGGGCACCACAGACCAGATGGAGGAGTGTTTCCCCCAGCTCTAACTCCCACCTCTCAGCATAAAATAATTTTCTGTTAAGTCATGGAAAGAAGGTGAAAGATGCAGAGAAAACAGATTCTGCTTCGCCGCTAAGCACAAACCCGGAAACACACGAGCCACGGGGTTACTGCAGACACTCACTGACCTTACCCACCGAAGGGAAACCGATCAGCGCCACCCGGGCATCTCCAGATTTCATCACATCGAAGCCTTCTCCTTTAGCGGCCGAGGATTTGGAGGGTTCTAGCAACTGAGCTCTGTATTTTGCAAGCTTTGCCTTCAGCAGGCCGAGGTGGTACTCGGTGGCTGGAATAACGCAACACAACAACTGGTTGACAGAAGCTGCTGATAATTCACTTCTACAAATAAGAAACTTCCTAAAAAGAAACACTATGGCTCATAGAATGATTTGGGTTGGAAAGGACCTTACCGCCCACCCAGTTCCACCCTCCTGCCCTGGGCAGGGACCCCTTCCACCAGCCCAGGGTGCTCCAAGCCCCATCCAACCTGGGCATGAACCCTGTCAGGGAGGGGGCAGCCACAGCTTCTCTGGGCAGCCTGGGCCAGGGCCTCACCACCCTCACGGTGAAGAATTTCTTCCTTATACCCGATCTAAATCTCCCCTCTTTCAGTTTAAAACCATCACCCCTTGTCCTGTCACTCCATGCCCCTGTAAAAAGCCCCTCTCCAGCTCTCTCGCAGCCCCTCCAGGCACTGGCAGCTGCTGTCAGGTCTCCCCCCCGCCTTCTCTTCCCCCCCGCTCCAACAGCTCCAGGTCTGTCCTGTGCTGAGGGCTCCAGAACTCTTGGGGGGGTCTCATCAGAGTGGGGCAGAGGGGAAGAACCCCCCCCTCCCTGCTCCCCACACTGCTGGGGATGCAGCCTGGGGCACGGTTGGCCTTCTGGGCTGCCAGCGCCCACTGGAGGCTCACATCCAGCTTTTCATCCCCCAATATCTCCAAATCCTTTTCAGCAGGGCTGTTCTCCGCCCGGCCTGGATTTGGGCTTGGGATTGCCCCAACCCATGTGCAGGACCCTGCGCTTGCCCTTGCTGAGCTCCACCAGGCTCACATGGTCCCACCTCTCATGCCTGCCCAGGTCCTTCTGGACAGCATCCCTTCCCTCCAGCCCGTCACCTGCACCACGCATCTCGGTGTCGTTGGCAAACGTGCCGAAGGTGCATCGGTCCCGCTGTCCACGTCACCAACAAAGATGTCAGACAGCGCCGGTCCCAGTAGTGAGCCCTGAGGAACCCACTTGGCACCGGTCTTGGTCAACGGCCATGCACACGAGCTGCCCCTGGGCGGTTCTGTAACCTCCTGAGACACTGCCCGCCGTGAGCAAACACTCAAAAGTCAGACTCGAGGGGAAAAGCCGCGCCCTTCCCAGGCAAAAGGGCAGAGCGGCAGCAGGTGCAGGGACGCCCGGGCGAGGAGGGGAGGTCACGGGGGGAGCAGCCACTCCTGGGCACGGGCCCCCCCTCACACCCCTCATTTCAGCGCTGCAGAAATGCAGCGATCTTTTTTTCCCCTGGACAGGCTTCACAGACACGTCTGACTTGGAGCTCGCACACATGAAAGTAATTTACTGGCTTATTCTCAGCAAAACACTTGGACAAGGGCAAGTGCAGGGTCTTGCACCTGGGGAGGAACAACCCCAGGCACCAGTACAGGCTAGGGCTGACCTGCTGGAGAGCAGCTCTGCGGAGAGGGACTGCGAGGGCTGGTGGACGACAGGGTGACCATGACCCCGCAGTGTGCCCTGGTT